ACTTTGGTCCTTGTTGCGGTGCATAGAGCTCTGGCTGCATCACTTGGGGATTTGTTTGTGGTCCAGGTGTGCACCTAATGCACACCGGGACTAAAGGACTGGTCTCGTTCAGAGTACTCTCTGCCCTGAAATGCATACACTGTGTATGTATGCTAGGTCCTCAACAGCCCCTGTTTCGTTCTCCAGGTCCACTCCTACTAAGCCACGCTGACTGCTAGTGTAGACAAGCTGGAGACATAAGGGAAAAAGAGCACTTTTTCCCTTACTGCACTCAGGGAGTAGTTAGGAGCCAGAATAAATTACTCTTTGCAGGGTGGAGATTATCATAGAATTATAGAATGGTTTAGGTTGGGAGGGGCCTTGAAGACCATCGAGTTCCACCCCCCCTGCCATGGGCAGGGACACCTCCCACTAGACCAGGTTGCTCAAAGCCTCCTCCAGCCTGGCCTTAAACACCTCCAGGGATGGAGCTTCCACAACTTCCCTGGGCAACCTGTTCCAGTGCCTTACCACCCTCAGAGTGAAAAAAATGCTTCAAAAACCTGCCTTCTTCCAGTTTGAAGCCATTCCCCCTCATCCGACATATCACTACATGCCCTAGTAAAAAGTCCTTCCCCAGCTCTCCTGTAGGCCCCATGTAGGTACTGAAAGGCGACTATAAGGTGTCCCCGGAGCCTTCTCTTCTCCAGGCTGAACAGCCCCAACTGTCTCAGCCTGTCCTCATAGGAGAGGTGTTCCAGCCCTTTGATCATCTTTGTGGCCCTCCTCTGGACGTGCTCCAGCAGGTCCATGTCTTTCTGTGTTGAGGACTCCAGAGCTGGACACAGTACTCCAGGTGGGATCTCACCAGAGCAGAGTAGATAAGTAGTAGTACGTTATCTTTTGTAATTGCAAAGCTAGGGATTATAGAATAGTTCAAATCACATCTTCCCAACTTCCATGGGAAGTTCTTGAACCAAAAATGTAGAAAAAAGTTGTGCGATTCCAATGCTTAAATCAGATAAAGTCTTAGTGAGGGCAGGTGCAATCCCCATTCACACCAAAAGCAGTGGCCCCTAGTTAACACTAGGAATGAATTTCAATAGCTGTCCTTTTGCTGCCTCCTGTTTTCTGGTTATAGCAGCTGAAGAATGGTAGTATAGGGGAATTAGGAACAGAAGAGGTGCTGATAAGCTGTGGTTCGTCAAAGCTTCGTGATCGCTTGAAGCTGGAACATTCAGTAATTCTGAGGCAGATGGAGATTGTGCTGGATGATACTGAAAAAAAAAAAAGGTTAATCATGCTCTGAGGTTTAGCTGTGGCACTTATCTCTACCTTGCCTGCGGGTTAGTATGTGCAGTCGCTGAAAGTCTGTGTGACTGATAAAATGCTTTTAACTGGAGACAAACTTTTTTCCCTGACTCTAATTTCAAACCACAGGAACATCCTGGATTTGTTATCAAGGGTTCATGTTTCTTAGGTGTCAATGTTGCAAAGTCTCATGATTCTATCATGAGTCTAGAAAAACTCTTGTGCTTGTGGGAATTTAATTTTTATTTAAATGGAAGCTAATTTTTAGCCTTCTTGCAGAGGACAAAATGTGAAAGGGTTATGAAATTTATTTCACATATGTTTCTTAAAGCCTTTTTGAGCTTGATTCAGGGTTTTTTTGCCATCCCAGTATGTGATTTTCCACTGAAGTTTTGAAGTAAGCATCCAGTGCAGAACAACCCTAGTCAGAGGTTTTTCCAAAGTTCAGTAGTGTTTCTTCCTAAGATTTTACTTTGGACTCATTAATTCTACAGAAATAAATTATGAATAGTAAAATTTGCGTACTTTCCTCTCTGACAGACCCGATTCCTGCCTCAGGTGAATGCCTTAGCAGCTCTATTAGAAGCATCACAAGTGCATTAAATCAGTTTACAGCAGATTATTACCTGCCTATCTTTAATTACATTTGAAATCTTCCGGTAAAGGAACAGAGCTGGGCCATAACATACTTCAAAATAAGGAGACGTTGGTATTTAAGTAAGGGAAGTGATGCTCACTTGACCGCAGCATAATAATCACTTAAGCTTTTATGGTTTTAAAATTTATACTATTTGTACAACAACCCGTGCTTGCCCTTGCTTGGGCCAACTTTTTCTGAGTAAACAATCATGTACCAGTACTCTATTTCAAATTCTCTTGAGGGCCTAGTATGAGAAAGGAAAGTTGGATCAATTTTTAAAACCTGATACTAATCTTCTATTCCCCTGTATGCTCTCACTTGTGCAAGATGGGTGTAGAGCACTCTGATTTGAGAAGTACTTTTTGACAGTACTGAGCAAAGTGCGTAATTAGCTGTGCAAAATGCTAAACGTTGCCTGTGTTCTGCATTTTTGCATAGTCACTTCCGTACACATATAACCTATTTGGGGTATAATAGCTGCAGACTTTCGTTGGTGTTTTAGGTATGGAATGGAAGCCAAACATGTAGGTGTCTTCCAGCCTGAATGCAAATGAGTATGAAATTTGCATTTGGGTAACAACAAGGATGCCCACCTTGTCCGGAAGTTATTTAACCACATTAACACAGGATAACGCTCAGGGAATCTCAAAGAGGACTATCTCAAACTCGGAACGTTGTGGCTGGAGGCACATGGAGTATGCACAGTTGCATGCTCACCTCAGTGTGCGTGCAACTTAGCGCATATGTTTGGACACGCATAGCCTGAATGCTGGACTATCCCTCTTTTGGAAACTTGTTGACTTTTCTACCTAAGGGAGGAAAAGCTGTTGGTACCTCCTTTGACTGGCAAATGACTGTGCGCTGGAGAATGGGGTAAGGATGGTAAATGCAGAGCTCCTTAAAATATACTGCATGCACTGTCCAAACTAGCAGGACAATTGTTTCATGATAAAACAAATACTGTATTGCTCAGCTGAGGCTTCTTTCTGTGGCAGAAGCAGCGGTTTGAAATTTAATTAACTTCATGTGGCACTGTAGAAATGGATGGCAAATCAATAATGTCACCTTGTGGTGGTGTAATTCTCTGTGTTTTGCTACACTAATTAGGTCTGACTTCAGTGAGAAGCATTTCAGGAGAAGGGGGGTGTGAATTATTGCTGAGTTCCTGACTGTCACTGGGGAGATGAAGTAATCTCAGTACTGAGTAACATCAGTGATTTCAGGAGCTGGTGACCTAACATGCAATCAGAAGAGGGAGAATCTCATATTTTGTTGGTGCTGTTGTACAGTGAGTTTTGGGCTCAGCTACTCCATGACTAGTCCAAGCTTCAGTTGGAAGAGCTTCAGACACCAGAAACTTCTCTTACCTCATAGTTGGCATTTAATGACTTAATTGCTTTTATTTACACATTCCCCCAGAGACTGAGAGTTTCTTGCAAACAGGTATTTCCTTCCTTTGGATCCAGTGCTCCTCCTGTGAACCCAGAGAGAGTCACGGGTGAGAGTGGTGCATGTGGGATGGGCCCCTGGCTCTGATCCCTCCCTGCTCCCAAAGCCACTGTGGAGAAACAGCTCGGGGAGCGGAATGCAGTTTGCTCCCATGTAGCAAACCCAAACACTGTTAACTGGAGGCAATGGCAGCTCTTTACCTGTTTATTGAACTCAGGGAGTTTGTTGTGAAATGTGGGGAAGAGAGCTGGAGTGTCTCCCTTCTCCAAGAAAAAGCTGCCCATGTCTGAAGGTAGAAGAGAGGCTTCCCCCTGGGACGCCTTGAGGCTCCTCTCCGACAGCGTGCTCTCTGCAACATCTTAAAGTAAATGGATGGATCAGGAATAGAACCTGGGGAGAGCAAGTGCTCTGAGGCTACTAAGTCAGTGTGACAGACCAGTGCCATGCTTTTTTGGGAAAGTATGTGAACTCCTTCCTTTTATATTAGTGTGAATTATGATTCCCGATCATCATTACTTCTAACATAAACAGTGTCTCATATAAACCATTCCTGCAGGTTACCACAGGCAGCCTGAGCGGCATGGAAAATTTCAATTGTTACATCACATTCATCCAGAGAATTGCAGCAGTGATTGAAATGATTTTGCAGTGGTTGGAATAATGCTGAGTGAAAGCTGAGATGGCGGTATTACACTTCAGAGATAGAAAACATGAAGTGGACACAAAGCTGGCTTTCCTTTTACCCAGACTCTACTCGTGGGCCACTGGAGTTGACAAACCCACAAATTTGTGTAGCTGATATCCTGATAGCTTCTGTGTCTTACTTAGCGCCCCTCTCAGCCTTCTATAAAATTTGGGGGAGAAGGATGAAAGGAGGTCTGATAAGGTACAAGTCAGTTTACAGGTAAAGAGTTTGAGTTAACAAATTTAAGTTAATAATGCCTTATTGTGGGACTTAATAGTCTGACAATCAAGACACAATACAATACACAAGAATAGATGTGAATGTGTGTTAACTAGTATTAATTAATTAATGCATTAACTATCGATTGGCTAGTTAATCATACTGTTGCTGCTCCTTAGCCTTCTTTCCTTTAAAAAAATAAAAGAAAACAAGAATTTCTCAGTCAAAACTGCATATAATCTCTGTTTCTGCCAAATTCAAGAAATTTAAATATATCAAATATATTTACTGAATTCACTCCTCTTGTACTACCATTTAACAGCTGTTCCTGAAATGGCTTTACAGGCTGCTTAAGGACCATGCGAGGATAAATAATACTCTAAGTTTTCTCATGCTTGAATACAAAGGATATATTCTCCAGTGCATAAAACTCTCTTTGCTGTCATACCTGAAAGAAAAGACCAATAGAAGCATTCATTAGGGCTATCAAGTTTATTGTCTATTAGAAATTATATGTAGTTTATTTTCTGATTGGGATCTGTTTTGTTTGCTCTGAAATTGCTGGTTAAATTCTAAAATCATTTTTATTGTTCAGGTGGTTCAAGGTCTGCCAGTGGCTCCCAGGTTCCCTTGTCAAAAGCACACCCCAAAACCAAGAGCCTTGCCTTGCTGTTGAAGAGGAAAAGGCAGTAATTGTAACTGGCTTATTTATTGCAGCTGCAGAAACTGAAACGATCACTCTCCTTCAAGACCAAAAGCTTGCGGAGTAAAAGTGCAGACAATTTCTTCCAGAGGACTAATAGCGATGTGAAACTGCAAGTAGACTTGATGCCTGAGGTGAGCACAAGCACTGGGCAGCTCCCCAGCTCAGAGAGCCTGGCGTCCTCCCCCACCAGAGCCCAGCAGCTGCCAGAAAACAACAAGGCTCACATCTTCCAGGAGCACATCTTCAAAAAACCCACCTTCTGCGATGTCTGCAACCACATGATTGTTGGTAAGAAATGATTTTTAAAATCTGTGTGGGTATCTGCGCTAGAACGTGCAGGATGACCTTTCCATAACTTACGTGAGCCCAGATGTCTGCTTGAGAATATTCATGCCAAAAGGATCTGGACTTGTGTCACATCTGCTACAGGTTAATACAAGTTCTATATTTGTTGACAGCTGTCTTGCCTTGTAGACGTGCACTGTTATCACAAATCACAGGTGAGGGTTTCAGCTAGAGTCAAATTCCTCTCTCGTTCAGGTTATACTGAGCACCAAGCACAAACTCTGTTGTATGTTACACTAGAAACAGTAGAAATCTGTCTTGCAAATTTGCGTCCGCTCTCCTTACTTGTCCACAGCAGTAATTCTGCCAGTCTTGATCCTCATGCCTGCCCCCACACCCCGCAATGCCCCCAGTTGCCATTCACTGTGGCGACCATGCCTACCTCCTCCAGCTGCCTCACATCTCTCCTAAGTGACAACTGGGCAAGAAGTAACATCTGCTGGGTGGTAGGCTCCAGGCTGCTTGTGTGTGTGTGTGTGTTGGCTGTATATGACACGTGTTTTGGGACACCAGGCCAACAGAACAAATAATGGCTGAACTCACACTGCAGACTTTCTTGGGGTTCTTCTACCTGATCCCTCCTACTCACAAAACCTGACACAAACTTCATACCTTTGAAAGATCACCCTGTCTTCTCTCTCAAACTGTCCATGAGCATGTAAGTTACTGCCGGGGACTGACTGATAGACAGACATAGAGGACAGAGCTAACCAGTTATTATTCTCTTCAGTGTGCAGAGAACAACTCCATACAGAGCCCTGCTTGTCAGGTAATTTTCAGTGCACTGTGGAAAGCCTAAAAATCCAGCCTTCATGCTACAGGTTATCTATGGGGCTGTGCAATGAGAGGTTAGGAAAGAAGTGGTGGCAGGTGGCTAGAGGTGTAGAACGTGCATGGTCACCAGTGTGGGAAGCTGCAGGAGTTGCTATTCAGAAGTCTGGCCCTAGAAATTCATGTTGTTGTGGCTAGCTTGTTATGCACATGATTTGGTCTTCTTGCTGCTTATCATCTAGTTGTCCCAGCACAGTGTCAGGAATTAATTCAGTGGCAGCGTACCAGTGTGAAAGCGAGTGACATGATTTCCAGGTTTTTGGGCAGGAAAAGGAATATAACACTGGTTTAGCTTCATGTAAAAATAGTGCAGGTCTTTGGGTACAACCTATTGTCTGTAATTTGTCTAGCTTACTGTAAGAAACTCGTGTCCCTTGGCATGGAAGCCACTGCCTTTCACATAACAGTATGGTAATTTCTTGAAAGATGCTGATAGGTTTGCTCAACCTTTTTCAGAGAATGATGCCTCCTTTTCCACATGGGGGTGCTCAGTGTCTCCCACTTGGGTGGGGAACTAGTGTTCTTTGGAAAAGGCAGTCGTCTGCAGAACATTAAATCTGATACAATACAATCCTGCTTCCATAAATTAAAGAATTAAACGTGAGGCCTCATTTCATCGTCTCTGCTCTACTGAATCCAGGGAAACAGAGAAGTTTTGATACCAGATTTTTGGTGTTGTTTTCCAGTCTTCTAAGATTTTTTCCACTTTAAATGGTAGAACAAGTCAAGGGGAGAAGGAGTAAAACATCAACATCAGGGAAGTTCATAGTCCAGAGATTGAAAGGAAGTCTGGAAGATAGGCAGTCAGTTGAAACAACTTTATGTGTGGAAGCAGGCCCAGAACTTGTCTTCTTCTGTAATGTCGATGGACGTTCTATCAAAGCTTAGTTTCACAAATATATACTACAAAAGTAGTTCCTTCGCATTTCTGGCAGCTTCTCATGAAGTTGTACGGAGATTAGTATCATCACAAATCTTCACGACTCAGCAATACTGTTTCAAAACACTGCTGCTCAAGATGGATTATTACTGGCAGCAAACTTTGTAGGGAGTAACTCCAGTTCATAAACACCCGTGCCCTTCTCCTTTGCTGGGCAATCTGCATCCCGCCTGGAATAGGAAAGTTCTGAAGCATGGCTGTAAGCTCCAAAACATCAGCTTTAACCCCACCTGCCTTCTGAACTTTTTCTGTTCTTTTCTGTCCTCTGAGGGCTTCCCTTTTCTGTTCTGTATCTTGGCTACTTCATTAGAGAAAGAAGCCTTTCATAATTGCTGAAGAAGCTAATGCGACCTATTTTGTATGGTGGAAGGCTGAGTCAGGTGAATTGCTCTGACCTCCTCCAGCTCTTCTTTGCTTGGAGGTATGGCAGAAGAGATGTTAAGAGTTTTACCTTATAATGCCTTAGATTCTAGATGCCCTGATTCTCATAGAAAGACATCTTCTCTATTCCTGTAATCCTCTCTCTTTGATCCTTTCTGCAGTCATGCCTGGTTTCGCTGTATTGTATTTTAAGCAGCATAGGAGATCTGGATGTTACTGTTTGCAGCTCAATTAATCCATACAAGTTGTGCAACTGTTGGTTATGGGGATGGTGAAGCAAAACAGGCAGCTTTTCAGGAAACTGTGTCAAGCCTGCTCCCAAAGGCAGACTGAAAAAAATTCCCTTCTGTGCAGGGACTCTGAATTTATACTTGCAACATGGAGCCTATTTGTTCTCTCTATTTGCATTTTTCACAGGCTGTGACATTTGAGAGTAATGAGTCTATGGCTTTAAATTCCTTATTGATGAGAATAAAGGCAAAGACAGATACATGTTTTGAAGACTGGGGGAAAGAATCCAGGAAAATCCCGGCTTGACTTTAGATGGTTTCAATTTTGCCACCAAGAATGATTCCAGGTTCACCTTAAATGGCTCTCTGATCTATGAACTAAGCAGCTCTGTTTGGTACGGGGCAGCATGATGAACTGTGCATAGCATGAACGTGCAGTACGCGCTTCAGTCTCATTGGCGTGTCAGAATCTGTCTGTAGCTTCAGAGCGAACAGGACACTCGAAGCAGAGGCAGCAGGCTCCCTGTGCTGCTCTTTTCACGGCAAAATTAAAGCAAAGGAACGTGAAACATTATCTTCCTACAAAAAATATGTGCATCATCCCTCTTTGATTGTTAGGCACTATGAGCCAAATGTTGCCTTTGGGATGCAGCACATGTGCCTCTTTTTTTTATTTGACAGAAGTACAGTCATAAGATAAAGGCCAAATACATGTAATTGGTTTCAGCATTCAGAGGAAGATGTTTACTAGGATCAGTATAATGCAAACTTACTCATTCAAATCCTTTTCATGCATCCCAGAGTGCAATGCAACATATTCAAAAGAAACCCTGTTCATTGGCTTGATTTCAAAAAGGAGAAAACGATATTAATATTGTGCTTCGTGCCTCACATTAAAGACAGGAGTCGAAGTGTTCCTGCTAAGTGGACTGGACTGGGGCTATAGTTCCACCTCAGTAAACAGAAGGAAAATTTGATAGAGAAGCAGTAGTTTTCTGCCAAATGAAATAAGGGAGAAAATTTCAGATTCAAGGAAGCTCTGAGGAGAGCATGGAGGGTCCGTTCTACATTCATGGGGCCTTCCTACAGCATCAATTACTCCAATACAATCATCAGTTCTAATACTGAAGTCAACAGTAATAATTCATGTCATTTCAGAACAAATCAATAGTATGTTGGAGCAGACTCTGCTCCTTTCTGCTGCTCACTGCCGCTATGAGCTCCAAGTGTTGGTTAACTTAGGAGAGAGGATTCAGCTCCGTGGCAGGTTACATATTTTCCTAAATATGAACATCCTCTCGCAGTGACTCTTTTTGGTTAACTTAGGAGTGAGGATTCAGCTCCATGGCAGGTTACATATATGAACATCCTCTCGCAGTGACTCTTAAAAACCTGTTCATTTGCTGTGCTTACTAGTAGCATTTTAATATCTAACCCCAGCAAGGGAAAATTTTGAAAATCGAAATATCTTGTGAAATCACTAGATCATTATTTAGAAGACACTGCTTTGTTCATTTTACATCACCATGAAAAGACAATCAAGTCAGAACACCTCTGAGTTTGCTTCGTGTTACCTACCATTTTCTGTGTTTAGCAAGAATGTGGTAAGCTTTTGCAATGTCCGATGAGGGGAGGCAGAACTACCTGGCACCAGCAAAGATAGAAACTATTAAATTGATGTTGCATCAGATTACAGTCTTAAACTATGCTGATCAGAAGTAAGTTCTTGCTCCTCTTCCATCTCTAGTGTGTCATCGGTCATCTCTGTGATACTTTACTCTTGAAGAAAACATGATGTCAGTACTCTACTCTTGAAAAACACTGTGTATTTTTAAAAAAACTCCATCTGTAGACTTCTCAACATTTTACTCATTTGCAGTTCATTTCCTGTGCTGACTCACATGGAAAAAATTTTCTTTTCCACACATTCCAAGCATATTACATGCAATTAATGTATTCCCATCTAAGTCAAATATAAGTAGTGTAGAAAAAAGTAAGCTACTTTGCTTTTAAAAATAGCTGACTTTAAAGTCAATCCTTTAAAGCTGTGTTTTAAAGAAACAGCTGTTCATTTATAACATTGTTGTTGTTTCCTTGTGTTTCAAAAGTGTACTTAGAAGTTTCATTCCGTGTTTCATCTTAACTCTGACACAGAATTTTGACCAACTGCCTGTTTTATTGGCATATTTGTTGGGGTGTCTTTGCCTGGAAAGACATGCTAGAGGGCCACAAATTTTCAGAAGGACCAAACAAATTGTGGTCTGCAACGTCCAACAGTAGTCAAAAATAGATCCTTCAGGATCATGCCATTGCTGGCTTAGGTATCTCAGATACATGCATTTATATTTGGTCTCAGGTCAGTAGAGTTTCTGGTTTGGATGCAGGTTGTCCATACCTTTGCAGCTCTGGAGGTAAATAACTCAGTACCTGCCTTCTCAGGGAACTAGCTAGGTTGCAGTCAGAGAAACCTGTAGAAACAAGCAAGCAAAAAGATAAAACCAATAATAAACTCCTAGTACAGTTTACATCCCGTCTACTAATCCACAGTGCTTAAGCAGTGA